AGATTGTTTCCTTGTGACCCCTTGCATGGCCTTTCTTATCTTTGCTAGCTGGTACCCAGACCTGGTCTGGTGGCTCCACTGTTTTGCACTTTCCTCTACATGACTACATTTTTCTGTTCAAATTCCAATCATCTATTTTCCCCATTATTTTATTGCTTGTAACCGTATTAGACCTACCTTGAACATCAGGTTCAAAGGGAGTCTGCCCATTGAGTACCCATTGCTGGGCAAGAATAGGGAGAGACAATGCCTTTCTATCCATAGTCATCTATGCTGCTTCCCAGAAGCAGCTGTTGGTCACCATTGGAAGAACGTTGACCTGGAGGGGCATTTGCTAGCAAGTACTGCCTATAATAAGTCAAATTCTGGAGAAAGAAGAAATTGAGCTCACTAACAACACAATCAATGTTATGTCAAACAGTAACTCAGGAAATGCCTCATTCATGCTGAACCTCAGTGGACAAGTCCACAATTTGGGCTAATGTTTGAACAACTGAAACGTACCCTTGTCTTTAGTCTGGTACTCATGACGTCTATGAAGAAAGGAGGTAAAAAAGGAGCTTTTCTGGCTAGAGAAAGTGGAGTTGTCCAAAGCATCAAGAAGACATTGTGATAGGGAGGGCTGCTGCAGAATAAAAATGGTGTCAGTGCTGGGAATGCTACCCGTTATGAAGCCAAAAAACTGACCAACTGAGAGAATTCCATCTTTGTAGAAAGTTTAAGGAGGGGGCTGGAACAAAGGGCTCAGGTGGGACAAATAATGCGTGGGTGGCTTCTTTTCAAGGGTGACATCCAGAGGAGATAATATATTCCCACAATTTTGGCCTGATTTCCTATCTTTATTCCAAGCCTGTGTATCCTCATTCAGTAAAACTGACATGGGTGAATTTGCAGGAAAATAATCCATTGAAGAGCAATGACAGATATTTTTGTTTCTCCAGGAGCTACTTGACTTAGTTCTAAATAGGAATTGCGGTTTTCATGAACTGCTAGAATAATAGTTCTCCATCACAAATCTCTGCTTTTATGAGGCAACCGGCAGCTTCAATTATCTTGGATTATTGAAGACAACGGGTCAGACATATTGGACTGACGTTGTCTTACCAGCTCAAGAAGAAACCTCCAGCTCTGAGGTCACACTGAAGATGTTCAAGTGAAGGAGGGTTAATTCCATTTTCCTCCACAAAGGCTGAAAAGGTTAGTGGGCTTGTCTTCAAATGAGCACAGATGCAATCAAAATGGTTGGCCCATCTTGAAGCCTGCATGGGAAAGGAACTTTATGCATGTCAGATGTCTGCAAGGACAAATATTAAAGCCATTAACTTTTTCTTTTTCTTTTTTTGGTAAATCGCACCCTGCCTTTCAATGACATTATCAGGATAGCTTGCAACGAGATACCAAAAACAACATCAAATAATTAAGCTAGATTAAAATGGCAGAATACAACAGGAACAAAGCAGTTTAAAAGCCCCGTGTTTTTTTCCCCCTGTCATTAGGAAAACTTTAAAATGTCTTTTTTTGAGGGGGGGGGGTTCTAATGTTAGGTAAATATGTTATTTCTGCTTTCTCCCACATTTGCTTTATTTCAAGAGCAGTATTTTCCCACCATGCTTATGAAGAAATTCCTGATGCAAAAAAGAAACTCGGCAAAATTTTTGCCTTGTTGGTAAAAACTAAATTCAGTAAGTTGAACTACTCTCTGCAAGAAGACGGATCATGCCATACTGTATCTGTGTACCACATTGCTATAAAATTTGAGAAGCCTGCCAGTAAATAAAAATCAATCACAGGATTTTTTTTTTCTTTATTTACTTAGCTAACTCTGCCAACGTATCGAGGTCCCTCAGGGTTTACAATAAAACATAAAGCAAAAATGAAAACCAGAGGTGTTAAAAACAATTGAAGACCACATCTAAACATAATTAAAATCAACCGTTACAATCAATACTTCCAACCTGGCTCTATAAAGCGTGTGTTTGTAGGACCTTTTTCAAAGCCAGACAGACTTGAGAAGGTTCAACTCAAAAAAAAGCTCAATCCACTGGCAACAGAAGGGTGAGGATTAAGATTCTGCGTGAACTGAAATTTCAGTGGAGAATGTCTAATAGTCAAGTTGGAATTTAACCAGGGCTGAAGATGCCAGTGTATGTATGTACCACAAGTCATGTTCCTCCAGAAGGGGTACAGTTGTTGCATCAAACAAAATTGCCCATTAAAGTTGCTCTCTGTCCATGGTTTCAGTCTGAGAAATTTGGGACATCTCAATCAAGAAGTATACCCAAATCTTCTGGGGTAGTGTAACCCCCGAACAAAATCAAGATCTGCTATCTGGGTGGATACAATGTGTTTTGGATTCAGTCCAAGCCACGATTAGCTGCAGGCCAGCATTCAGGGAAGATACCCTTTACCTAAAATTGTTACAGGAGTTAGATACAGGTAGCATATGGATACCATCCAGTTTCAAATCAACTCATGATTTCCCTTTGCAGTTTGATATACAGATATTTAAAAGCAGTGGAAGCAGAATGGAACTCTGATAGGTACCACATAAGAGGTTTTGTTCTAAGGAAGAAATGTCTCCAAGCAACATGATCTGGATCTACTGCAGAAGCAGAAGAACAGAAACAAAAACAAAACCAGCTTCAAAACAGGAGATGACCATAACTGATGGTATTCAAAGTGGCTGTGAGAAATGAGACAATTCATGCACTCCAAACAAAGATTATCCATCAAGCCAACCAATGGCAATCTCGAAACTTTAGCTTAGCTTAAACGCAGTTTCAAATGAGATGCATATACATAAGGATTCTGATCCAGATTTTGACAAGCGAAATACTCAAAGGCCTTGTCCAAGGTGGAAGAACATGTCACTTTCTATTGTTTAACCTTGTGATTTCTTAAAAGTACCTTTCATCCTGTTTATGATGAAGTTTCAGATTTTGGTTAGTTCTTCACGAAACCAAAAAATTCTCACCTGTTTCTCTCAAACTCCATCATCTGTGGATCACCTCCCATGTCTTAGATGGCAGGAAAAGCTGTAGGTACCTCTGATGATGGACACCAAGCATAGATAGGGTTCTTTCAGGTGCCTGAGCCCCAGCACCAGAAAGAGAACCATTCAGATAAGATCATAACATTCAGCTCTACTTTGCCAGTCCTACTTGTTCTTTCTCTAAAGGAAGATGAAACATGGAAATCAGACAATATATGAAGGTCAGTATGAATGAATTCTTAATTCACATGGACAATTGATATTCAGTAGATAATACAGAAGTTCCATTTCTATGAACAATCAAGCCTACGAATACATCTCTTAGATGCACAATTTTTGGGAGCCTTTGAATGA